AGAGACAGAGAAAGAGACAGAGAGAGAGAGAGAGAGAAAGAGACAGAGAGAGAGAGAGAGAGAAAGAGACAGAGAGAGAGAGACAGAGAGAGAGACAGAGAGAGAGAGAGACAGAGAGAGAGAGACAGAGAGAGAGAGACAGAGAGAGAGAGACAGAGACAGAGAGACAGAGAGAGAGACGACACGTGTCCGTGCTGTCGGTGAGAAAGTCACATTTGCATCTGTCTTAGCTGTTTGGTGGTTGTTGAAATTTTGTGAGGTTTAACCTGAGATTCTGGCTTTTTGGGCAAAATAAATTAATATTAAAAAATCAATTCAGGATTTTAATGAATCGGCATCATGTTATCCAAGCCAGAATCGATTTTAATCGATGAATTGATAATCAAAACCCAGCCCTAAATGTTAGCTGCAGCTCTCAAACGCAAACTCTCAGAAAAGTAAAAGTACTTTGATTACTTTGATTGGCTGTACTCTGCAGGTCCCGTTTCAGTAAGATGAATATGAAAGTGTCTCACCTCCAGCAGCCTGCTGAGGTGATGCTCAGACAGGACCTTCACCTCTCCTCCACTCATCTTCTTTTCTTGTTCTCACCTTAAGCTTGCTCTTGTCTGTCGTTGCAGCAGGGACGATGCTGTGGACAAAACAGCAGCATCAGGTGGCTGCGTCGGTTACCATGGTAGCGACCTGCTGAGCAATGACAGACTGAGGACAGTGACATCACAGTGACACCTGATGGCAAAACAGAGAATTACACACCTCTCACTGTCTCCTTATGTGGACGCCTCTCAGACATACACGCATCCTCATTTTAGTTCAGTAGAGAAAAAACCTCTAAAGCTGATTTTTCCTGATGTTTCACACATTTTATGAAACATCCTGAAGTTCTCAAATTTTCATACCCACCAAAATCAAAACAATGGAAAAGTCGTGAATTGCAAATGAAAACTTTGTGGAGATGAGAGTGGACTCCTTCAACCTTCTAAATTATAACAGTTAAATCTTCATCAGATGATAGTTGATGGTTTCCAGCTTTAAGGAAAGGTGAACACGTGCAGCGATGTGGGTCCTTGTTCTTAGCCCGGCTACGGGAAGAGACGAGCTGAGACTCGGGGAGCAGGACATGTGGGGGTGGATCCTCACTTTTAACCCTTTCTGAACTTTGAGATCAGTGATTGTATCGCCTTCTAACAGGAGTCAGTTATACTGCTGATACTGTGTACTAAGTACTGGGCAAAAGGCTTAACCTTAAACTCATTTCTTTATATTTTGCCAGACTTCCTGTATTTTTTGAAGTGCTCTTGAGCAATCGTTTTCTACATAAAAGAAAAACAAAATTTCTAACAGATAAACAGTATCTGAAAATCTGTTCCTTTAGAGACGGGAACAAATCCTCAAAGACGCGACACATGGATTTTTATTAGAGCGGTTAGAACATGCTGTAGGTATTACAGGTACTGCGCTGCAGTGGTTTGTATCATATCTATCTAATAGACTCCAGTTTGTGCATGTAAATGGAGAGTCCTCTTCACACACTGAGGTTAATTATGGAGTTCCACAGGGTTCAGTGCTAGGACCAATTCTGTTTACATTATACATGCTTCCCTTAGGCAGTATCATTAGAAGACATAGCATACATTTTCACTGCTATGCTGATGACACCCAGCTCTATCTGTCCATGAAGCCAGATAACACACACCAATGAGTTAAACTGCAGGAATGTCTTAAAGACATAAAGACCTGGATGGCTGCTAACTTCCATCCATCCCTTCTCTTCCTCTTATCCAGTTCAGGGTTTCTGTGGGACTGGGGCTTATCCCAGCTGCCATAGGGTGACAGCGATACCATGGACAGGTTGGGGCTGCTAATTTCCTGGTTCTAATTTCCAGTCTCAGATAAAAGTGAGACTGGAAATGGCCACCCCTTCCTGATCCTCTGCCACAGGTTTTTTTCCTGGGAAGTTTTGAATTGAAGTGAAGTAAACTCAGTTGAATGGATGGATGGATTTTGTACTGGTATCCTCTTTTGATCTGTTTTTGATGTGCGGTTGCCCACCTTCACTGTCTGCTTTTCAGGAAGCCAGTTGCAGGTTGCAGTGTCCACGCCTAGAAACATCAGCTTTCCACACTCTGCTATGGGATGATTGTGTTAAAAGCTCAGCTCAAGTCGATGAAAAGGACTCGGACGTGGGTGTTCTTTGTCTCCAGGCGTGACAGCGTGAAGTGGAGTGTCGTGGAAATGGGATCCTCTGTGGATCGGTTGAAATTGAAAACTGTAGGGGATCCAGGTTACCCAGAGACTGTTCTTGGTGTGCTTCAAAATCAGCCTCTCAAAACTTTTACTCACAACTGGTGTGATGGCCGTGGGCCTAAAGTCATGTAAGCAGGCTGGGTTTGTTTTCTTTGGGAGTTATGATGGCGCTCTAGAGGCAAACTGGCCTGCCCGAGTGATGTGTGAAGAATGTCTGCAAAAACATATTTCTTTGCTTTCTTTGCTCTGCGCAGTTCTATAAAACATGCCCACAAATGTTGTCTGGCCCTGCTGCCTTACGTGGGTTGACCCTGGCCTTTCTCTCCAGCTGTTGACAGTTCCGGTGGCAGTGGAACTGTTTGTGCCTGGGTGGTGTTGTAACCTCAAACCGTAGAAAGAAGTTGTTCAGCTCATCTGGTAGAGAGCTGTTGTCCCGGCTCATCATCGGGGGAGGGGGCTTGTAGTCAGCGATGTGTTGAAAGCCCTGCCACAGACACTGTGGATCCTTGCTACACATGAAGTGAGTGTTCAGTTTCAGTCTCTTCGCTTCTCTGATCCCCTGTGACGGGTTCTTCCTTCCTATAAGCTGCAGGATCCACAGATTTAATAGCTTTGCTTTGAGCTCTCAGAAACGCTCGCTGGAGTCTGTCCCAGCTACCATCGGACGAGAGGGGGGCCCGGGAGGAGCTGGGGGACATCCTGGACAGGTCCGGTCTGGACAGGCTAACACACAGAGACCGACAACCATTCGCACTCACACCGTTCATTAACCCAACCCCACTACTTCCATTTGAGAGGAAGCCCAAGTACCTGGAGCGAACCCACACATGAGCAAGCAGGTGACAGTGGGAAGGAAAAACTTTCTGCTGTCTGCTGCCTCAGCTCGCAGCTGCTGCCTGGTGGGGTTCAGGGGAGGAAGACGGGACAAAGACACACTGTGGAAGAGAGCCAGATAATGATTCAGTGCAGAGAGGTGCATAAACACATAGTGAGTGAAGAAGAAACACCCAGTGCATCATGGGAATCCCCAGCAGCCTTGGATCAGGATTCTGATCTCCTGAGCTGAGGAATCACAGACTTTTGTTTTTAACAGGACATGATGACTGACTGAAGAATGCTGCACACTGATTGGCTGAAGATGTGTCAGTCACATGATGACAGCACTGTCTTTGGGTTCTTTTTACAATTATACTCGTGCATTTTTAATGATGTTTGAGTCTGGGCACAGGTACAGAAGCTTTATCCTGAAACTGTTGGTGTAACTGTGCAAAAGTCTATGCCAACAGTGTTAGATTGTGTGTGTGTGTGTGTGTGTGTGTGTGTGTGTGTGTGTGTGTGTGTGTGTGTGTGTGTGTGTGTGTGTGTGTGTGAGGCCCACTGATGAAGAGCGTCCTCTGAGTTCAGCTGAATGGAGTTTAACAATGCAGGAATGTGTGTGTGTGTGTGTGAGGCGGGGGATTTGGACGACTCTCTTTGGTTTCCATAGAAACATGATGTAAGGGCGAGGGGGCGGGGTTCTTCTCCTTTCATTGTGTGAGTATGTGTATGTCCTTTTGTGCTTGCTTTAAAGTTTGTGTGGACTGGCTGGTAGAGAGACCTCACTCGATGGAGGAGTAAGACGAAGAACCCAGCAGCAGAGCGGCGTGACGACTGACGGGGTCGAAGACAGGAAGCTGGAAGTTGGAGGAAGTCTGTAATGTAGAGGTGAGGGAACAGGAGCTTTTGTTCTTCGGGGAGTGTGTGTGTGTGTGTGTGTGTGGCCCCTTCGTGACGTTTTCAGAGTCCAGATTGAACCACCTCTGACTTCTCTGATTTTCTCTGCCGCTTTATTGTGGGCTGCCGCAGTTCCCCCGACAGCCTCTGGGTGGAGCTGCAGCCTGGGGCAGATGAACGCAGTGACACTGCTCATTAATGCATTCGTGTGTGTGGCTGTCTTTGTGTTGTAAATGCGATTAGACACTGGCAGCTCTGCTCCTGTTGTTGTTGACCTACTTCTGTAGCTTCACTTTAACCTGAAATCGTCTCCGAGGGCGCACTCGGCTAACTTTACTGTTTCTGCTTCATGTGGAGCGCACACAACCCAACTGCTCAGCTTCATTCTCATTTGCAGGCAACATTTTAAAGATAAATCAGAGTTTAAACACTGCTGCAAACAACACACACACACAAACCTTCATATATACAAATCTACATTTGCTTAAACTATTCTGATTCTGATCTCACGAAGGGGGCCGGTTTTAAACCAAGACATACTATTGCTGAAAGCTGGGGTATAAAAATCACACCGGAAGTGGACTGAAGATCAGAGGAACTGTCCACGTCATGGTCAGCATGTACGAGGAGGTCAGAAGAGGTGCAACAGTGAGAGTCTGCAGCCTTGTGTGAAACATGGCGGAGTCTCCATCGTGGTTCCAGATGCATGTCAGCCAAAGGTGATGGAGATCTTCAAACACACTGCCAGTGCAGTGAAAGCATCCTAAATAGAAATATACGGTGGATCAGCCTCCGCAGAGCCCGGACCTCAACATTGCTGAAGCATCGATTCGCTTCTGCCAAGAGGAGTGGTCAAACATCCAAAGCATCGGGTCAGGCTGAAGCTTGCTGAGGGACGTTGAACCAAATGTTAGTGGGGTGTGTTCTTCACTCTGTGTGGATTGCAGAGAAAGTACAATTTTTAAAAAATTAGTATTTCTGTACAATCACTCCACCCTGGTAAAAACAAACATTTCAAAGGAGTGATTAAAAGCCCCAAATCACCCTGACGGTGGTGCTGATAATGAGCGGATGGAAACGTCTGAGCATCACCTTCATGTCATTAGAGAACCTGTGCTGCCTTCCAGGTGTTTGGGTTGTTAACTGTTAGTGTCCGAAAACATGAGGGTGATGGTATATGTTTCACACTGTTTGATGCGAGGGGTGGAGGGGTAGGTGGAGATGGAGGTAAGGATTAATTCACACAGTAAAAAAGGCTGTAGGCCAACTCTGACCTCGTGGGGCTCAAACGGACGTTTTAGCCTTTAAGTCTGAAAAAAAGAAATGCAGTATACAGAATACTACAGAGTACTATCTGTCACTTCCTCTGTGTCCAGGTTCACCGCGACAGCCTGAGGAGAACTCCTCCCTCAGCACCTCCCACACCTCCATCATGACGGACAGCCAACACCCAGGCGTGCCTTCCCCCTCGCTCTCTTCAAATGTTCACCACAACGGCAGGATTGGGGGGGCGGTGTCAAAAAGTCCCATGACCCCTGATCAAAATGGTAGTCTGGATCCAGGACCAGAATCCCACAATCCCAGTAAAGTCAGCAGCAGGACGCTGACCTCCACCTCACCCCTGAGGACCCTCAGGACTCTCCGAGGCCTTGTGAGTCCAGTCGGTCCCAGTCCTGAAGGCGGCACTGCCAGACCTCGGGGACAGAGCCTTAGCTCTGCACTCAGCTCCAGAATGAGAATCATGACCCCCAGAAGTAAGGTAACTCTCACCTGCAGTGAAAGACACACCTGAGCTGGTCCCACAAGTCCAGGAGAGACAGGAGCTCCCAGGTGGAGCCAAATCTGAAGGGAGGTGTTGATCAGTCTTTGGGTAGCTTTGATCAGACAGAGGTCTGATGAGACGAGTTAGAACCTAAAAATCTGGATGGACCACATGTGTGGTCAGAGTTACCTCATGTGATTTTTAATAACAGCCTGAATAATTAAAGAGAGGTCACAGATTCAGGGGAGACCCCGATGACTGGATCAAACAGCTTTTTAGCTGTAGCTTATAAAGAATCATCACCTGTCTGAGGTGAAGCTCTGCACCTGGATGAACTCCAATCAAAGACATCTACAGACAGTCAGAAGCAATAGGCTGACATAAGCTGCCTCAGACTCTGTTCTCAGTGTGGTGCAGACTCTTCTGGTCTGTAGTATTTGACAAACATTGGTGTGAAACTGCAGATCAAAGTGAAAACTCAACATGCAGTAAAGAGTTTTGGTGATTTTGGAAAGAGCGGAGAGGACAGATGGTGACATCGTGGTGTTCAGATGCTGTCACATTAAGTGTGTTGGAACTCAAATCTTTAACTCAGACTCCTGTTAACCACTTGTAACACCTGTGTTGTTGGTGCAGCGTAGGAGCAGCCAGCAGGGGGAGCCAGAGGCCCTGTTGGACCTGATCCTGGAGTCTCAGTGTCAGAGGCTGGACGACCAGAGAGCCAGCGTCAGCCTGCTGCCCGATCCGGGACCAGCTGCTCTTTGTGGGGCCTGCAGTCCAGATCAACCCCCTGTGCCCAGCCTGGACTTTTACTACATGCTCATACACTACCAGGTCTGTATCTTTACTGGGTTAACTGTTAGCTAAAGATTGGACACACTGGTGTGGTTGGTTGGTGTGGTTTTTACAACACCGGGAGTATCAATGCTCCTGACCAATCAGATTCTTGTGATGTCAGACAGAAATATTAGAAATGCTTTCTTACCTCTAATTTTGAAAACAGAGACCTCCCTAAGTTAGTATTGTTCTTGACTAAAGCAAAGAGAAAAGGTAAATAATAAAGCCTTTGGTTACTTTTGGTTTAGGGTTAGCAGCAACATGTTAGCAACAGATCCTTTGAGTCCTGTAAGCTGCGAGCTGAGGCCTCCTAGACTGGATTTGCTTAGTCTGGGAGATCACACAGATCCCTGATTGAAGGCCAAGTCCGCCCTCAAACTTCATGTGCTCTAAAACATTTCTGAACCTGTTTAGCAGCGTGGCTTATCTTGTTGAAGGGCCACAACCATCAGGGAGCACCATTTCTCTGAAAGGGTGGACACGGCCTGTAACAGTGCTTAGGTAGGCCTGTCACAGTAACATCCACGTGGATGCAGGACACAACTTTTCCCAGCTGAACATCACCCAAAACATCGTGCCGCCTCCTCGGCTCATCTTCTTCCAATCTGGCCTTGTGCTTCCAGGTGTTCCCCAGGTAAGCAGTACACATGTATCTGGGCATCCACATGATGTGTATGCTGACACCTTTCTATCAGAATGGGCCACCCGGTCCAGCCGTCAGTGAACCTGGTTGGTTCTTTGATAGGTTACTGAGCCCTGCAGACCAACCAAAGGGCTGCAGCTTTGGAGACACTCTGACCCAAACTGTCAGACACATTCAAATCCTCTTGTGCATTTTTCTTGCTTTTAACATCACGTCTGAGGACAAAATGTACACCTGCTCCCTGATATATCCCACCCACTAACAGGTGGTATGACTGTATTCACTTCACCTGTCAGTGGTCAGAATGGCCCTGTTTGAAGTATCCGACCAGTTTCACTCCAGTTCACTCTGATCTATGAGCAATATGATAGTGCAGCTCCTGCATGTGTACGAATGAACAACAAGAAAAATTCGTTTGTACCTCACTATCTGTACACATTGTTTTAACATCAATCAGTAAAGGTGACGTGGGCAGGACTTGATTTTAGCATTTTCAGTCAAATCTACACTTTACCTGAAGGATGAAAGAGAAGCTCATCAGAACAGATGATGATGCTATGGGGATAAAAAGATTTTATCCATGTTTGTTGTGTTACATTAGCTACCAGACGGGTTATGACCCACGTGAGCTTCTGTCTGTGTCTGCATTTGGGTCCACTCCCACTTACTGACCTCCAGACCCCATGACAAGATGGCTCTCTGTAAGGTGCAAACAAGTACTTTCTGTCAATATGTCACAACAGTGCGGCTGGTCAGGGATGGTCCTGGATCAACACTGATCTCGTCATCAGGAACAGGATAGTGTAGAACAGCCCTCACCTGTCTCTCTGTCTGCAGTCTGACAGGATGGAGGACCAGAGGTGTTCCCTCCCAGACCTGGATGACGTGCTCACTCCGGTTCCTGACGGTCAGGAGAACTTCTTCTCTTTGGTCCAGAGAGTCCAGTCCAGGAGGATGAATGAGCAGCGAGCTTCACTGCTGCTGAGGAACAGTGAGGAGGACCCGGACGCACAATCTGCTAGCTCCTCCTTCCATCATCATCATCATCATCACTGATGAAGCCCCAAGTCTGATCGGGTGGAGCGACTGAATTCTAGTTCCCTTTAAGGAGTAGCATTTGTTGTTGAGTGTGGCTCTGGCTCCTCAGACTGAAACCACGACCACAGTGATCCTGGACTTGGGGCCATGAGGGTTTTCGTCTGCATGTAGGACAAACTGCTGTCAGAAATAATCTTAATTTTTACTAACACACCTGTAACACATGTCACATGACCAGGAATCACAGGTTGGTTTCTGTACGGAAGAAGAAAAAAATGCTTGGATGGACTCTGAGGTTTGATTTGATGTTTGGAAGTTTGTTTTAATCAAACTTAGGGCTGCAAGCACTTCTGTGTAGATGGGTAAGTGGGGCTATGTGGGTGGGGCAAACCCATATTTATCTCACACAGCGCCCGCAGCATATTTGCCCTTCAAGGCTAGTGGGGATGCCGGTGTGGGCTTTCCCACAGGAAACCCACGTTAGTGGCCAAGAGAGGCATGTTTGGTGGGGCAAGCTGAGGTTTGACTGCATTAGAAGGTGAACGTGGGCATCCCTGTGATGCTGGAGTAGGGAAGGTGTAGTAGGGCGTGAGGCGTAGGTGTGGGTGTAAGGTCCTTGGTGTGAGGGGTGGGTGTGGGTCTGAGGTGTGAAGCACGCGTGTCAGTGTGAGGGGCAAATGTAGTGATGGTTAACAAGTTAACGAGAAGTGGTCGAGGTTGAAGAGACTGCTGAAACCCTTGGGGGCGCAGGACACGACTCATTAAGTCACATGACTGGGGGGGGATGCAAAGTATTCTGGTAGATGTAGTGAAGTTTAGTAACCCATACTTTCAGCTTTAAAAGGACACAGCCTTAATGAGGTCATCATATCCATCAGCTGTTGCTCCTCCCACCACAATGCCGTACAGGAAACAGCTGTTTACTTCCTGTTTGTTCTGTGGTCCCTAACCCAAACTAACGAGGTGACTGAATGCAGACCAACTGACGATGCACTCACTGACCGCATGATAAACACTCTGCATGTAAACGTCACCCTGGACCTGTGAACCTGTGACCTGATCTGTCCTGTTTCACCTGTACTCACCTGATTCTGTAGTAACTGCAGAAATGTGACCTTTAATCTCATGGTGCTGATTTAAATAATCTCTCTAACAAACATCTCAGCTTGTATTTCACTGTCAAACTTTATTCAAACATGCAGCTCACAGACGTGATGTCAGGCTCTCCCACCTGACATGTTTACCAATCACAGGTGTCCGTCTGGAGCTGAAGCCTCTCTGTGACCTCTGACCTCTGTAAGCTGGAAAAGTCTGATCGTAAAGAGAAATGTCACTTCCTGTGTTGGAGGCTTGAATAAAGTTTCATCAGGCTTGATCCTATTTGTCCTCCTCCTTGTTGCCTGGTAACACCTTTCTCACCCTCCCAGTCCCAAAAGCGATGATGGTTCAAATCTGACCAGAGATTTCAAATTTCAGTCAGCTGACTGCAGACAAACGAAGCCGCCTCCTGTTGCTGTCTGCAGGCGACCTTTGATCAGGACCACACATGTCCCGATCCAGGATAATTGGATTTGTTTGGAGTGGTGTGACAGCGACGTAGATTTCAATTCAATTGTATTTACACAGCGCCAAATCCCCTTAAGGTGCTTTATATTGCACAGTAGATCGTACAATAATACACACAGAGAAAAACCCAACAATCATATGACCCCCTATGAGCAGCACTTTGGCAACAGTGGGAAGGAAAAACTCCCTTTTAACAGGAAGAAACCTCCGGCAGAACCAGGCTCAGGGAGGGGCGGGGCCATCTGCTGTGATTGGTTGGGGTGAGAGAAGGAAGACAGGATAAAGACATGCTGTGGAAGAGAGACAGAGGTTAATAACAGATATGATTCAATGCAGAGAGGTCTGTTAATACATAGTGAGTGAGAAAGGTGACTGGAAAGGAAACACCCAATGCATCATGGGAATCCCCCAGCAGCCTACACCTATTGCAGCATAACTAAGGGAGGATTCAGGGTCACCTGGTCCAGCCCTAACTATATGCTTTGGCAAAAAGGAAAGTTTGAAGCCTAATCTTAAAAGTAGAGATAGTGTCTGTCTCCTGAATCCAAACTGGAAGCTGGTTTCACAGAAGAGGGGCCTGAAAACTGAAGGCTCTGCCTCCCATTCTACTTTTAAATACTCTAGGAACAACAAGTAGGCCTGCAGAGCGAGAGCGAAGTGCTCTAATAGGGTGATATGGTACTACAAGGTCATTAAGATAAGATGAGGCCTGATTATTTAGTATTATTTAGGCCTTAGTTTTCACCGGAGCTACAGTATCCAGAGTCGTACGTAGTGAAGAGGTAAAATTATTAACAAGATGTAGATCTGGACACCGTGATCATGAAACTCGCAGCTGCTGACAGCCTGAGACAGCCGACGCTATCGTCAAAGACTAATAATATAAAAATAATAATAATAATAAAACAAACACACTGTTGTGTCCTTTGAGCTTTTTAAAAGACGTTTTGATAAATGCGTTGTTTTAGTAACTCTGAAATAAACTGGTTGTTCCAGCACAGCTTCATCACAACATAAGTGCATTGGTTGTTGTTTTTTTCTCTGCAGCTTATTTTAAGACTTTGATCAACTCCAAGAGTTGAAACAACAAATGTGTTTCATGCTGAAATAAACTTACTCACAGCCTGCTGCAAACTCAATATTCCAGCCTGGATGAATATCGGATCAGTCCATCTCTACCTCATACATTGGAAACTGCTGTGTAATCATAATTTTACTCGCTGTATCACAGTATAACAAGGAGTGGATGGACAGAGGTCAGTGTTACTCCTAGGGGATATTACTGGATGTATTTCATCAGATGAAAAATTCACATTTGGTGCTTTTGACACTTTTAATCTCTGACTAAATCAGTCTCCAGCTCTGTTTCACATGTATTCAAAGGAACTTGATCACACCCACACTGCTAAACCACTGGTTTAGTTAGTAAACTCTAATGTGCCCTTTGCTTTTGTTTGATTTTAGTTTTTATATATTTTTATTTTTATGGAAGCGCACATGTATTTTACGGAGCGCCTGCTCCTATCAGCTCTTCTTCGTGCACCAATAGAAAAAATTAACCCTCAAACGAATCCGGAAACTCAGAGGGACCGCTTCACTTCCTCCACTGAGCATGTCCATCACTGCGCATGCGCGGCTGCAACACAGGACGTAAACAAGTAGCGCGAGTTCCGCCGTCCGCGTGCATCCGCCAAAGAGCGCGAGTCGGCGAGAATCAAAGTTTAACGGCTGTAAGAGCGCGAGAAAGATCGATCACACCTGATCAGGTAGGAGCACTTCCGTTTTCTTTCTTTAAGGTTAGCGTTAAATTGAACTCGCCCTGACCCCTAACCCTCAGTGTGACCGGTTCGGTTTTTACAGAGTAAGAGCTCTTGTGACGTCACATATGAGCGCCAGGTTGGTTTCAGCGGCGAATTCGCGATGCAGCTCGAGCTCGAGCTCGTCTTTTGTCTGAGGCAGGTTGACCCCTGACCCCGCTGCCGTAGTCTCCTCTCAGGTAGACGGCAGCTGATCAGCTGATCGTGTTCCACGCGCTGCTGGGGTCGTCACACCTGAGCGACCCCGGAGTTTAGGAAGAACGCTAGCTACCGGCCGATACCGTGGCTTCTTAGTTGTAACAGAGTTTGACCCGTGAGCCGATTACACGCAACCACGACAGCCACAGCGCAGCAGTTTGTGTGTGTCACAGCTGTGAGCACAGGGCAGATCACGTGTTTGTGCTCTGTGACGTCATCTGACCCTACCTGCTCCTCCTCCTTTGAACAGAAGGCCACTCTTCTCTTTTTCTCACTGGGCTCGAGGAAAAGAGGTTAGGGAGAGCAGATGGTTTTGGAAGATGCCCGAGGAGGAAGAGGAGGAATGCTGAGGGGCTCCTGGTTGTGGGAGGAGTTACCTACAGGTTGGGTGCTGAGGGAACCAGCTGAGAAGTTGTTTCCTCTGCACAGTGGACAGGAGACAAGGAGGCTTGATGGAGAAATGAGGAAGTATAGGAAAGCATTCAGAGGAAGAATAGAGGGAGTTGCAGAGGTGAAGGAGTACAGTGAGGAGTATAGAGAGCTGTGTGGTTAATCTCAGAGGACGTGATGAGCACCCTGAATCCTGGTGGTTGTGAATCGACGACACACGTCACAGATTGAACCGCTCACACTGAGCTGCACTTTGGTGTGGACCACGTGCCAAAGGCTGTAACTGCTGCAGTGTGCACGCTGTGTCGTTCTGTGGTGCATTATGGGCAGTCTCCGTCTCTCACTGAGCACGCTCCTCTGACTGGCCAGCTCGGACAACATCCGCCTGTCTGATGCCACTTTAAACCAGCTGAAGGGGGTCTAGATGTGTCCTGACTGTCGGTTGGAGTTGATTGAGTCTTGCCGGGTGGAAGCCACAGGTGGGGGATGTCACATGTGAGCTTGGACACTTTGATAATGAATGTTGGCTGGGGCGCTCTGAGACACACAGGTGATGTTAGAGCCGTTTCAAAATGTGTTGTCTGAGCGGCAATACCCGTTGTTCAGGAGAATCCTGCAGCGGCTTCCTGCGCCCTGGCAGCGGGCGTAAAGTGAAGTGGCCGGGTACACCTCCCCCACTGAAGCCTCGCCTGTGCCAGGCGGTCAGCTCACACCTGTGTCCTGTTTATTTGTCCTGATTGGCCACACCTGACCTGACCTTCCTCTTCTTCTTCTGCAGCCTCTGTCACAAACTGACCTGCAGCATCGAGCCATCGCCTCCTCCTGTTGCTCCTCCCATCATGACACCTCCATCATCCTGTGAGAAGAAGAAGAGGAGGCGCGCAGAGGGCGAGGAAACTCCTGCTCCCATCGACATCGACACTCCTGAGAGAGGAGAGAAGGAGGAGGAGGAACTGTTCAGTCCTCCCGCTGAAGAGGAACGGGTGAGCAGGAAGGAGAAGAAAAAGAAGAGACGAGAGGAGGAGAAGGTGTTCAGCTCGCCTGCTGAAGATGGACAGGTGAACGGGGAGGAGGAGGAAACCAGCGAGGGGAAGAAGAAGAAGAAGAAGAAGAAGAAGAAAAATAAGAGAAGAGCGGAGGAAGAGGAGGTGTTCAGTTCTGCTTTTTCTTCTGCTGAAGATGCACATGTGAATGGGGAGAAGGAGGAGAAAGAGCAGAGGGGGGACAAACAGGAGGAAACCAGCGAGGCAGAGAGGAAGAAAGAGGAGGAACCGGGTCCCTCGTCTCCTGTTCTGGGTGAACAGCTGAGCAGGAAGAAAAAGAGAAAAAAGAGGAGAGAAGAGGAGGAGGAAGAACTGTTGGCTCCTCCCTCACCTCCTACTGGGGATGAAAAGGTGAGCAGGGAGAAGAAAAGGAAGAAAAAACAGGAGGACAAAGAGCCAGAAAAGAGAAAGGAGGAGAAGGAGGTGTTCTGTTCTCCTCATGGACAGGTGGGCAGAAAAGAGGAGAAGAGCAGCGAGGGAGGAAAGAAGAAAAAGAAAGAGGAAGTGACATCACAGGAAAGGGAGCCTTACAGCGAGACTAAACAAAAGAAGAAGGCGGCGCGCATGGCGAGTGTAGCCACAGCAACAGCAAATGCACATGTGTCGGTTCAAACAGTCAAGAACAGGTTGAAGGAGGAGAGGGGAAGTGAAAGTGTGCAGGAAGTGACATCATGTAATGGAGAGAAGGCAACGAAGAATGTAAATCCTGCAAAGAGGCAGAGAGGTGCAGCGGGGGGTCACGGGGAGGAGGAGAAGAAGAAGAGGAGAACGGAGGCGGCAGCTGATCCTGAAGAGTGAGTTCATAAAGTTCATGTTAACGAGACGTCAGTGAACACAACACAAAAAGATCAGAGACTGAACAAAGCTGGGGAGCCGTGACACCTTACCACCTGCGGCTCCGCACGCTCAGACAGGAAGCAGCGTGGACGCAAAGCTCCTCATGCGGCGTCCATCTTTGTTGTCTTTGCTTTTATGATGAAATGATGATGTCAGCTGATGATGATGATGATGATGTCATGTGCTTCAGGTTTGACCATAAGTTGTTGGAGGAACTTCAGGAATTTGTTCCTCATGTGAAGAAGAAATCTGCCGATCAGATCAACAAGCTGCTGCGGTACGACTTGGCACGCTTCAAGGCCTTCAAAAAGAAAGGTAACGCTGCTGCAGACGCCACCAGCAGGAAGGTACGAGCACTGCGCACTAACCCTGTGAATGCCTGTCTTCCTCCAGGTGTGTCTCTGCGCTGGGGGCGGTACTCTCAGCTTGAGAACCAGCAAATCGAACAGAACGTGGCCGACTTCTTGGCTCTGACGGGAATCAGCTCAGCGGAGCAGCTTCTGTTTCCTCACAGGTTCAAAGAGCAGGAGCTGGAGATCAGGAGGCTGAAAGCACAGCATCACTTCCTGGAGAACATCGGTACGTAACCAATGCAGAACGACGTTGGGTTCACTTTTATTTATACAGTGCCTAATTGCAACAACAGTCACCTCAGGGCGCGTTTCATATAAACTTCATATGTATATATATATATATATATATTCATGTGGATTTACTACCACCTGCCTACTGCTTCCAGGTGGGAAGAATGTCAGTCCCCTGCTGTAATTAAGGAGATAATGCACCAAATGGCTGAACACAAACTAGATGAAGTCCCTGGTAACAGTGCGATTATTGCAGCCGCCCTCCTACTTTCT